AGCGGGAGGCAGCCTCCAGCCTGGGCTGATTCCTGGCTTCCTCCACGCTCCCAAGTGTCCTGCGTTTTTGCTTGGTTGGATCATGTATTCCTCGCCTCTCTTTCCTGAAGACGAGGAGTGATTTACAGGTCTCCAGAAAACACAGCTTGGCTGCTTTGGAAGGGAAAAACAAACCAACCAAACCCCCTCTCTGCTTGCTGTTTCGCCTTCCCACGAAGGGGGGTGGCCCCAGGACCCGCCAGCCCTCGGTGTCCCCACCAGCCCTTGGTGTCCCCAGCAACTCTCTGCTTTCTGCAAGGAGCAACGTTCCCAGGAGGTGTGGGTCCCTCTTTCAAGATGTTCCCACCTCGAGCTGCCTTCTCTGGGAAGCTCACATATCCTCTGTGGGTCAGGACCCACCCTAAGCATTTGTTTGGGGTAATTTTGGCCCTACAAGGAGTCCCTCTTGGCCAGAGCCTCTCCCTGAGGAGCTCCCCCTTCTCTGGCTGCCTGAAGGGGCCCCTTGTGCAGCTGAGCCCCAGACAAGGCTCCAATTGTGTCCGTGTGCCCCGATGGTCGGGGCTTCTGCCGTGGTGTCCACGTGCTGGAGCCACGGGAAAAACGGCTGTGTCCAACCCGCACCCGCAGGCTCGGCTTTACTGAGCTGTTGGGCTTTGGGAGGCTGTTCTGGAGCCGGGGGAGTCATCATGGGGAGGTGATGTCTTGCATTTAATGCTGCTTCAGTGACAGGGATGGGGGAATAAATGTCGGTTCCACTGGCTGCCTGGGGGTGCATCTCATGGCCCCCACCAGGCTGTCCCAAGGACTCGATGGGATTCATGGACTGAGCTGCCATGGGGCAGAGTGTGGCAGCTTGGAGAAGGAGGGAGCAGAGTGTGGAGCTGACCCCGGGAGCACCTCCCCTCAGCCAGGGCAGCAGTTCCCAAGGGGCAGGGCTGGTGCCTGGCAGGTGATCCTGGCAGCACCACATCCTCTTTTCCAAGCTGCCACTTCCTACCTCACAGCAGTGTCCCATCCAGCAGCACAGTGGGTCTCCCACCCCATATGAGGAGGGTCCCCCCCGGGGGATCCTTGTGCTGTTGGTGAGAGCTGGCACTGGCACTTGAAGCTCAGCTGGTGTCAGTGGCACAGCCAGCCCTTCCTGCTCCCGGGCGAGCCCCGGCTGGGGGCGAGGATCAGCGCCAGCCCTCGCCAGGGAATGAATGGGGAGACAAACAGAGCCACTACTGTTGGGGCAGCCCAAGACCCGCACTCCGCCTCATCTTCTCTGGAGATGAGGGGGTGCCCTGTCATCCTGCTCTCTCAAAAGGCAAGCAGTCTCCCCTGACATCTTCTCTCTGCAGCTAAGAACTGACCCAGCCCCCTGGAGAAGCACAGGGATAAATCCTGGTTGTGATCCTGTTGGGTCCCGTGATATTACAAGCCAAGAGAAATGTCCTCATTATTTCCAGAATATTGAAGTCTAATAAATCCTGTCCTGCCTTATAGGATTTATTTCTCTGTTCATTGCTAGGAGACTCAGTCCCGTGTAATCCTATTGCTGCTCCAGGAGGTGGGGAGAGGCTTTCTGAAGCACGGACCTGGCAGGGCTTTGGGCAGGAGCAGGCAGCCCTGGATGGAGCCGTTGGTGCCTGCAAGCATCCCAGTGCCAGCCCCTTTCCCAATATGTCCTGCTGTCCCAGAGCTATTTTGGTGAATGTGGCATGGGTTCACCAAAACACATCTCATCTGATGTTTGCGGCATGGCTGGGCCAACGGAACACTGATCAGCAATTAGCCAATTAATGTGGCATGGCTCAGCACAGCCTGCTCCCCGTGTCCCATGCATGTCTGCCGTGCTCCCCCAAATCCCACTTTAAGGGCCTCTGACACCTTCTCACACCAGAACCAGTGGGAAGAGCTGCGAAAAGCCAGGAGAAGCCGGGCTGGGCACAGCCAGTCCCCTGCAGCCCCGTGCAGAGCCAGCCGTGCCTGGCTCGTCGTACACCAGGGACCCTCCGGAAGACAATGACGGACACGTGAATATGGCTGGAAATTTTGCCACTGAAGTGTTTTCCATAGCAACCGTTGCTGGGGCAACCTGCATCCCGAGCAGCATCCACCCCGAAACACCCAGCCCCGTGTCCACCAGAGCCAGCAAAGAACCACGGCTTGGGACTGGTGAGACCCTCACTCTGCCCCACCACCAGCGGCACAGGGATGCTCGGGCAGCACTAGCCCAGTTCTGAGCATCCCCAGTGCCACAGGGCCCCTGGAATGCTTCACTTTCGACCTTCTTTTTGGCATTTTGTTTTCTCAGAGGTGGGAGAAGCCAAAGGGGTTGCTGTTGGTGTCTGTTGCCCCCCGGGCGCTTGGCTGTGGAAGCAGGGGTGTGCAGGAGCCATTGCCAGCTCAGGGTGCTCAGCAGATGTAAGCAGTGATTTTGGCTCCAATGGACCAAAAATGGGATCGAGTTTGACAGGGAACACTTTGATCTGAGCATCAGCACAGGGAGAGGGAAAAATGAAATCCCCACTGCTTTGAAGTCTGAAAGAAGGGAGTTTGTGGCCCCTTGGCACCTGCCTGAAGCCGTATGGTGGGAGCTTTACCCTGGGGACACCCCAGGGATCCCAGGAGACCCTTGCTGCTGGCTGGGTGGGCCCACATGAGGCTCAGGGTCTCCAAACACACTGTGGCCTCATGGGATCAGCTGCATTGGTGGGAGAGGGGCTGGGGAGCTCGGAGCCCATCCCGAGGATGCCCACAGCACTCAGTCCCTGCGCTGTCACCACTGTCACCAACAAGAGGAAACCACAGTCCCCTGTGCCGGGGCAGCTGCGGTTTGCGGGTGCAACCACAGTCTCTGCCTCTGGATATCTGCCAACCTCGGCTGTGCCTCAGTGTCCCTTTCTGCCAGCCATGAGCAGGGAAACGTGCCTCCAGCAGGGGACAGCGGTGGTGGCTCTCAGGGAGTGGAACAAGCCCTGCTTTTTGGAGAAGGGTGTGTGTTTGCAGTCTGGCCTCTACACTGCCACTGCACGCTGATGTGGCCTGTGGCCCAAAGGTAACCCCTGAGGGTGAGAGGAAATGCCATTGCGGGGACTGTGGCCGGAAGGCACGGGCAGGGGCAGGGGCACATTCCTCGCCTGCCCCCGCACACACGGCTCACTCACTGCCCACAGCTCTCACGCAGGTCCTCGCGCCACCCACTCGCCCGTGTGCCCACGCAGCTGCATTCACCCCTCGTGTCCCTTTCCGTGGTTCCCTGTGTGCTCTCGCATGCTCGGGGAGCAGCGTGGGTGTCTGTGCAGCTTGTGCGTGTCCACAGGTCCTGTGACCCCACACAGCTCACACACGTGTGTCCCACAGCTCCCAGGGAACCCCGCGGTCCCCCCCGCCTGCTCCCGGCCGTGCTGCTGATGGCAGGGCCTGCGGCACAGCACACGCCGGTGCCACCAGGTCCAGGCTCACCAGCTGTTGGGGTGCCCGTGGGCCACGTGGGCGGGCTGTTGGAACAGGCCAGGCGGGCGGCAGAGCTGTGCCATGTATGCCACGTGTGCCATGGTGTGCCATGCGTGCTCTGCCGTGTGAGCCATTGCACCTACACTCACCTGTTACCTGCCCCTTACATCCCCCTGCCGTTACACACCCTGCCCGTTACACACCCCAGAACACCCCAGTTACACTCCTGTCACCCTTTGTTGCACACCCATTGCACACCAGTTACACTCCCATTACCCTTTGCTCACTGCACACCCACTGCACAGCCTTTGCCCTTCATTTGCACACCCATTTGTTGCACACCTATTGCAGGCTGATTGCACACCTGTTACACACATAACCCTTCACTGCACAGCTGTTTCACACCTGTTACACTGCCCTTACCCCTTGCTGCACACCCATTACACACCCACTGCATGTCTTACACACTCATTGCCCTTCACTGCACACCCATTACCCTCCTTTACACAGCCGTTCCACGCCCTTTACACACACATTGCACACCCTTTACACACCCGTTCCACGCCC